CCTAACGTGAGAAAATCTGTGTTAAAAACTTTTATATACAAAACTTAGAAAAATCTAATGAACATAATAAAAACATATAATAGGTGCAAAACCACCATAGGTGCGTTTATAATAAATGTTAAAGAAAACCGAATAAAAAAAATAGATAGATCAAAATGTGTCTTTAGCTACTCTTATGATTGTTCTTTCTTCACGTCTGGTACCATCTGTCATTTAGAAATAAATTATAAATTATTGGAATTGAAATTGCTAAGAGGCATGCCAGACATTAATTATCAATTTATTATAAAGTTCTACTTCCCTAATGAGATATTAGTCCATTCAAATTGGTTATACAAACACCTAAGTGCACCTCTAAATGCATATTTTACTCTATAAGTGCAGTTAACTAAACAAATATTATTATATGAAGCTATAATATTATATCAGAAATGTCACAAATAAACTTTCTAAGCGTACAAGGAAACAACCTATTTCCATACTTCATTAAGAGGACATCTGCTTACATTTTCTTGACTGAAAGTTTTTTTTTCGATGCCATTTTTTATTCAAAAAGAAAAAAAAAAATTTAAACCAATTATTACAAAACTTTTATTTTAATTATCTTTTTTTAAGAATTTCGGCTATTATACAATGCTTCGTTTAGAATTTTAATCCTCATATAAAGACTTCAATTAGATTCGACTTTAGTTAGAAAGATTTAATTTCGGAAATGATCATCCTGGGCCGAAAATTGGTAAAAGAAGTTTCTCCACATGTATGATATGAATATGTAAATTTTTATAGCGATAACTACTAAAAAGAAAGTATAATCGATTTCTCTTTCAGAATTATTAAATATAATATTTAATGCTATAGTAAACATATACTATGAATATGTATACTGTATACGAAATTATACTAGTGATACTTTAGCTAATTTTTTTTTCTGAAGTTCTAAGTAAATGTTTAATTGCATATCGATCGAAAATAGTTACTTTTTTTGATGCATTTACATAAATTTTATGAATATCGCATCAAGAACGTAATTTAGAAATTTTTTGTCTGTCCCGCCGCGTAAATATGTTTATATTTTAGTGTAACGAAAACATGCATATCTACGCGTTTGTGCAATATGATGATTATCATGTGCTCCGGACATACAATGCTACGCATTAACCAAATAAATTATAAGATGGCGTGTTTATACGTGCATTAAAATATTTTGATAATTTTTTTTTACGATATAATTCTAAATTTATATATTTACTTTCTTTTTTTTTTGACATGCGAACACTTAGGACTTTAGGTCATTATTAATTAATATAATTGATATTATATATAGTATAAAGTTTACTTGTTATTTGAACGCCACACAAATTATACAGTAACTTTGATATACATATCAAAGTTCCTTATAACTTATTTTTATTATCTAAATAAATGAAGTATCCAGTGAAAATATAAATACGATAAATAGGATGAAAAGGGGTATAAATAAGATATAACACGATCTATTAAGATATAAATATGCAATAACAAAGCGTCTAAAATAAAAAATACCACCATTACATCAAATTATTACAAATATTCAAAGAAAGGAAAGGTTTCTATATAATATTCTAATATATCAAACTGGTCGAAAATAAAATTTATCTCAGCAGGTCATTTAATTAGTAAAAACATCAATTGTAGAAGGTGTTCGCTAATCCATTTTGTATTGATCCATTTTGTGATTGACGGGTATCAATTGTAAGTGTTCGCATTGATCCATTTTGTATTGATCCATTTTGTGATTGACGGGTATCAATTGTAAGTGTTCGCATTGATCCATTTTGTGATTGACGGGTATCAAATGTAGATGTTCGCATTGATCCATTTTGTGATTGACGGGTATCAAATGTAGGTGTTCTCATTGATCCATTTTGTGATTGACGGGTATCAGTTGTAGAAGACGTTCGCATTGATCCATTTTGTGATTGGAGAGCCGGAAAAGGCACGGCTTTATGTGTTAGGTGAGTTGGAAAAGGTGGTGGTTCAGTGGGTATTATATCAGACTTTGCAGACCTTCTGTCTGGTAATGAAGCAAGTAATGAAGAAGTATTACTCTTAGTCTGGGGAGTTGATGGAATAGAATCAGGAGTTGGCAATCCATGAACTATTCGTCTTGGTGGCGGTCTTGGAGACATTAAAATTTCTTTTTTACGAAGTTCTTCATCAACCTTTTTGACTAATTCATCCGTGTCCAAAATTCTTGGAATTGATAAAACATTTACAGCCTTCGGTTCTGATTGTTCTGATTGTACTTTTTGTCGATTCTTACTATATAGAATTGATTCATGGCTTCTTTTTGTATGTGGATGTTTTTCAAGGGTTTTTCTTTTCTGTCTTTCTCGTCTTGATTCATGATCTAATTTCGCACTAACACCTTTTTTGGTTTTTCGTATTTGTTTACCTCTAGGTACATGACGCGTTTTGGTAATTGGTTGCTGATCATTAAATGACATTAATATACTTTGCTCTAATAATTGTTGTCTGAATATTTGAGAGACACGTCGTTTAACTGGTGGAACTATGACAGATGAACGTCGTTTAACTGGTGGAACTATTATTTGAGAGACACGTCGTTTAACTGGTGGAACTATTATTTGAGAGACACGTCGTTTAACTGGTGGAACTATAATTTGAGAGACACGTCGTTTAACTGATGGAACTATGACAGATGAACGTCTCCTTATTGAGTTGGTACGA